TCTATCTCTCAATATACAAATCATTCTCCCTAGCACTTGCACTCTCTTCTCTCAAAGGGGCCAACATTTTGAGAAACCCTAAGATGAAGAAAAAATGATGTCATTGGAGTCCTCCATGAGGCAATAGTTGCCATAAAGACAGCAACAGCCTCTTTCTTACTCTCTATTCGACTTCACAAACTCTGACACTGTTTGATTGCTCTGGCCTATAATTTAAATGTTGGCTGCAACCTCAGAATATATTTTGAGAGGAGGAGGGGGTGGGGAGGGAAGAGAAGGTGAAAGCCAGCCCACTTGTAGCTGGAGAGAAAGAAACAAATTTGGAAAATAGAAGAGGAGGAGGAGGAGGAGAAAGCAAGCCCAGCCCAAGCACCCGCGAAACAGTTTCCTGTTGCCATCCTCCAAGATACTTAGATTCCTTCAGACCCTTGAGAGAGACTGAAGTTTTCTCAGCTGCCCTGTCCTTGAGGTATGGCATCAAAACCTACTTTTCCATTCTCAGCTTTTATTTAGTCTTCATTTTTCTTCCTTTATCTGTTATATTAAGCAAAAGAGTCCTGACTGGGCCCAAAACTAATATCTGCATTTGAAGAATAGTCTAACATGAATAGCATTGATATGTAAGAATGTTCAGTATTTTCGTTACATTCTGTACTGTTGGGAATTCTGCATGCTGTGCCTAACTTCTGTTTTGCTGCTAATTGTTTTTATTAATTGAATTAGTTTAATATAACACCCATATTTGGCAACAAGTATCAGTGCTCTTCTCTACTTCCATCTTCAACTTTATTTCTTACTGTTTTATTGCAAAGCAGAATTTATTTCGATCTGTATAAGCGTATACAAAATGAAGCATGCAATTCATTGCCTTTAAAATTCATTGCCTCAGCATTCGTTCCCTGACTTTACAGGACTAAAGTAGAGAGAATTAAATTGTTTCCCCTTTCCAAAAGAGTCCTTTATTCCTTCTCCCAGTTACCCTCCCAAAAGTTTTTTTTTGCAATTCAGTGAAGTCAAATTGAGTTATTTTGAAATGTAAATGGTATTCTCTTGCAACATAAAGAAAAAGGTTCTGTTGTTTAGGGCATGCTATTCCCTTTCAGAGGCAAAACTTTGAAAACAAAAAATGCAACAACTTTAAATGAAACTATTCTGGAAGCACGGTAAATTGGACAAAAGAGTTGTGCAAATGCCGGTGCAGAGAGATGAAAGGAAATGCATGCAGAATACCATGAAACCCGTTTAGACAAAGCCATTGTGTGCCACATAGGCAGAGGCGGGGGGGAGGGGGGGGAGGGGAAGGGGGGGGGAAGAGATATCAACTTTTCACATTTTTGCCAAGCCCCACCTACGGGGAGGGGGAAAAACCCTTCTCTGGTATGACTCTTTCACAATGGAATGTCGGCTCCCATGGAAACCCTTTCAGGGACTTCTGGTTCAAGAGATGCCCTGTCCTTTATGACCATAGATGTGAAAGGAACGGATGCAGTTGGGGTGTTTTGTATCAATGTTTTGACCCAAAATACTGCTGGTTTGCTATACTGCATCCAAAAGACAAAATGCAGGACACTTCAAGTTAATTAAAAGAAATTATTCTACATTGTCTATTATTCAACTCAAAGTTTAGTTTGTGTCAAGGGTCATCCAAGACCCAGGTCTGAATCTGTGTCCCATACTTAGTATTTCAAACTTAGATGGTTTTTGAAAAGGCATCTTGAAAGAGGAAGGATTATACAAACACAAACTATAATAGCTGGAATGATTATCCTTTTTGTAAATAAAGAAACAAAGGGCAGAAGCACCATTGCTTTTAATTTAGACTTCGTTGTGCAGGTAGTAATTTAGTAACACTGTATAAGTAGTCATTCTCTGCAACAGTAAGAAATAGGCTAATAACTTTTCCAACTGTGAGATAAAAGTATGGGGTTTTGTAGATAATGATAATGCAGGCTATTATCCAGTCCAAATTATCACTTTCCTAATGTTTGACAATGTTGAGACTGATAAAGGAGAATATTTGTAGCTCACGGTTGAAATAAGGGGTCTTTGGTGTTCTCTGAGTTTAGTTGTTTTCTTGCAGACCTTTCATTGCCCAAACTAGGTAACATCATCAGTCTGTAACAAAACAACCAAGTTCAGAGAGCACCAAGGACACTTCAATGTTGGGACTTGACAGTAAGTCTATTGAACAGCTGGTTCTGCTTTTGTAGCATCATGGAATGCATAACATAATATAATGAAATTTTTGGGGGGAACACTGCAGGCAAACTAAGCCCTATTTTCCAGTACTGGATGTCTTAAGAGTACTTTTCACTCTCTAGTGGTAAATCTGTGTGAGTCTTACCATTCAGTTTGTAGAAGAGAAATTTTAGATACCCCTGTGCTGCCAGATCATCCTTCTCTCCAGGAAATAGGACATCTCCCTAGAGGTTCAGTGATGATGCACAGATGGCTGCTGGATCGATCTCTTCCTTCTTAGTGGGAGAGGCACTAGGAGAATAAATTCCTCCTGTCCCTTTTGCACAGCAAAGAATAGAAGGGCCCAAAAGGAATGCAAGAAACTTGGGTTGTAGCTTCTTCCCTGATGTCAAACAGAAGGGAAGACTGAGTATGAGTTGGCCATCACATGGCAAAGTCCGAATTCCTTGCATTGATCAAGCAACTCCTTTTTTTCCTTTTCTTTTGCTCAGTGGCCATCACATGGCCATCACATTCACTAATGGCAACAGGTACACTCTGATAGTTTTGGCCAGAAGTGGCCAAGCTGTATTTAGGCACAGCAATTGCAGGGAAGAAGTAGGAGCCAGTGGAAAAAATGTCTGTTAATTGAGTATGACAGTGGTGTGCAACTTTTACTGAGACCAAGACTTAAGTTGTACTTTGAATTGTGCCCTGGAGTCAAATCAAAAGTTTGCTCCAGTCAGCTGTTTAATAATTTCTCCCTTCTGTCAATTAAAAATTAACAATTGGATAAGAAGTTGCTTGAGGGCCCTGGGAACCACATTCAAGACTTTAGGGGACAGGAGGCAGCCTGGGGGCTCAGTCTTTGCACCTCTGTCTTCTATGTGTCGTAGCCAATATATTGCAGAATTATCTTCAAGTTCACTGAAGGCATTTCTGCAATAAGAAATTTCTGGCACCAGTGGACAATTTATATCTTTCCAGATCTTGGACCGAAGTACTCATGGTTATATGGGAATGGAGTTTAATACAACATTCTTCATATCCATCAAACATATTTTTCTCAAAAACAAGTCAATCTGAGGTCTGAATTATGGGCAGTTGTTAAGGTGCCAGATCATCCGTGCTATTCACTTTTAAATTTTTGCCTGGCCTAGCATTCCTAACAGCTTGCCCTGGGAACCTTCAAACATGGGAATTGATTCTTAGTCTCAGGTAAGGGCCACTGGAATATAACATAGAATGATCAATGAGCTTTCTTGGAGTTATCATACTAAAGGTTTTCTCACATCCATGAACCAGCTTGCTATTAAAAGGGGAATGCTAGACCAAGATTGACAAGGCTGAGGTTCAGACTCCACCCACTCATGAGGGATGATTCAGTTTAAATTATTCTCCAAAGTACCTGAAGGCAGGACAAGAAGCAATGGGCGGAAACTAATCAAGGAGAGAAGCAACTTAGAACTAAGGAGAAATTTCCTGACAGTTGGAACAATTAATCAGTGGATCAACTTGGCTCCAGAAGTTATAAATACTCCAACACTGGAAGTTTTTAAAAAGATGTTGGATAACCATTTGTCTGAAGTGGTGTAGGGTTTTCTGCCTAGGCAGGGGGTTGGACTAGAAGACCTCCAAGGTCCCTTCCAACTCGGTTATTCTATTCTATTCTATTCTATTCTATTCTATTCTATTCTATTCTATTCTATTCTATTCTATTCTATTCTAAATTACCTCAAGATATAAATAATAAACTGGGATTTCAGGGAGGAACAATATACATTGCTATAAACTCCTGGACAGAAAGAAGGATATGAATTATTTTTACAAAATGCGAGCCATTATAGTTCCACATAGCGTAATCCATTTGAAGTTTTTAAATAAATCTTCATCTAAATATATCAGGAAGAGAAGGTATGTACTTCTTATGTACTTTGGTACATAAGAATAGTGTGCATGGGATAACAGCACCAACATGGAATTTTAGAAGAGGATTGCGCCAAGGGATTTACTTTATTTAATTGAAAACAGGAGAGATCAAGTAAAGGATGGGAAACGGATACATTTTTTTTCTTTCAGTTAAACTTTGATATTTGGATATGTTTGTTAGTAGTTTCACATGAAATTAGATTACATATCAGTTTTTCAATTTTGGTATGACTGGCAGATGAAAGCTTTTCCTTTTTATATAACTAAGAACAGATTTATTCACAAGGGCCTTGAGTTAATTCAACAATTTTTAGGTGTGCGTGGAAAATTGCAGTCCAACCCTCCAGCTATAATTCTTGTTATGAACAGACACGGCTAAAGTTAAAAATCCTTAGAGTGTCATTGTGAATTTTCAAAAAATGTCCATATCAATATAGCTTCAACTTGGGTTCCTTTTAGATTTTTTAATACTGTACAAAATAATTAGTGAGTAAAATATGCCACATCTCACTGAAGAACAGATCCATCTTGTCAGTATTTTTAAATAAAAATCCTTTGAAGAATCATGTTGGCTTCAAAAACAATCGTGCCCCTTATTACAGCCTTAAAATTTTGCCCTCTTCCGTTAACAATGGTCTATTACAGCAAGTATTACTGTAAATTCGAAGGCTGAATTACTTTTCTTCCATGATTTTATGAGTGTTAATTACATAAAGCTTGACTAAGACTTTTTGCCATATGGTTCTGCTGACATTTCTAGGCAGGGATCATAACAAGCTATTTAAAGCTGGTGATTTCAGGCATTTCTCCTGCCTCTGTGAAACTCAAGAGGTTAATAAAATAATATACAGCAGAAATTTGAGCTAGAGATTTTGTGATTCCTTCAGCATGGTTGGGAGATGAAAGAATGCGGAATAGGTTGTTCATGATGGGTACTAAAAAGCAGTTTTATAAGAAACAAATCTGCTAAAATCTAAATTGGTTCATTTCAATTTTATGTAGTTTAAACCTAAAATCATATTCATACCTGGTCTAATTATACAGTTGATGGCATTTGAAATTCATTCCATCCATTACTTACCCTGGAAATCATGCAAAATCCTTGGCAGTTCTTGTTTTATGTTTATGGATTATGTACAATGTGCCTGTGATCTCTTCTATAGTTAAATGAAGTATAGCATGTGAATCCAGAGACCACATCTGATCCCTAAGTATAACACAATGCCTTAGTTACCTTTGTGGGACTACTGCAATGCGTTCTAAATGAAGCTATCCTTGAAGATCACTCAGAAGTTGCATCTGATCTAGAATATGGTGGCATGCTTCAGTTTGCCCATATAACAATGCTGTACAAGCTGCACT